CTCCCCAGGAGGTCCCAGGAGGCCCCAAGAGGCTCCTGGAGACCCCAGCAAGCCCCAGTAGGTTTCAGGAGGCCCCAGGAGGCTCAGGCTCATGCACAAAGACGCGTTCGTACTACTGAGGCTCATTCACACTCCAATTCATTCGCAGTTAGATTAATGTCCTGACCGTCACAACTGAAGCCCGTGTATATTCGAAAGCTCTTGCGCCTAGACATTCACGGCGGACAGGTCCATGCGAATAGATGCACTTATGGGGAGCTCCACGCAGTGAATAATTGGCGGACCGCGCCGGAAGGACACAGAACAGGACAGAACACCACACCCATCACTCAGACACACACGTAAATTATTTATTCCCCATATCTTAAGATGGGGTTCTTGATTCCCCATATCCAAAGATGGGGTTTTTGATTCCCCATATCCAGAGATGGGGTTCTTGTTATTGGCGGACCGCGCCGGAAGGACACATGACAGAACACCACACCCACCACTCATCACTCAGACTCACCACTCAGATTCACTCATCATTCAGACTCACTCATGCTCTCTCATCACTCAGACTCAGTCATCACTCAGACTCAGGCGATCCTAGGAGGTCCCAGGAGGCCCCAAGAGGCTCCTGGAGACCCCAGGAAACCCCAGTAGGTTTCAGGAGGCCCCAGGAGGCCCGAGGCTCATGCACAAAGACGCGTTTGTACTACTGAGGCTCATTCACACTCCAATTCATTCGCAGTTAGATTGATGTCCTGACCGTCACAACTGAAGCCCGTGTATATTCGAAAGCTCTTGCGCCTAGACATTCACGGCGGACAGGTCCATGCGAATAGATGCACTTTTTGTTCCCCATATCCAAAGATGGGGTTCTTGTCCCCCATATCCAAAGATGGGGTTCTTGTTCCCCATATCCAAAGATGGGGTTCTTGTTATTGGCGGACCGCGCCGGAAGGACACAGAACAGAACAGGACAGAACACCACACCCACCACTCATCACTCAGACTCACCACTCAGATTCACTCATCACTCAGACTCACTCATGCTCTCTCATCACTCAGACTCAGTCATCACTCAGACTCAGGCGATTCGCCCGTCTCAGCAATCTAAGGGGGGCGGCGGGGGGGTATTTCACGGGGTCCCGTTCGCGGAATTTTGTGGGGATGTCTCAGGCGGTTTGGCCATTTTCTGATCCAACATGTTTCGTTTTCGGAGCAGATTTGGAGGATGTCTCAGGCGATTCGCTCGTCTCAGCACTCTAAGGGGGGCGGCGGGGGGGTATTTCACGGGGTCCCGTTCGCGGAATTTTGTGGGGATGTCTCGAGCGGTTTGCTTGTTTTCTGTGCCAGCATCTTCGCTTTCGGAGCAGATTTGGAGGATGTCTCGAGCGAGGCGCTCATTTTCAACCCCCCAGGTGGCCAGATTTTGAGGATGTCTCGATCGGTTTGCTTGTTTTGGTGGCCAGGCTCGTGGGCGCAGATCTTCTCAGGATGCCACAGGAGGCTCCAACAGGCTCCAGGAGGCCCCAGGAGACCACATGAGGTCCCAGGAGGCATCAGGAGGCCACAGAAAGACTCAGAGGCCACAGGATGTCCCAAGAGGCTCCAGGAGGCCCCAGGAAGCTCCGGACGGCCTCAGGAAACCACAGAGGCCCCACGAGGCCACAGGAAGCGCCAGGAGGCCTCGGAAGGCAACAGGAGGCCCCGAGAGGCCCCAGGAGCAGGAGGCCTCAGAAGGCAACAGGAGTGGCTCCAATCCCATGTGTTTTACGTATGCTCCCATCGATTGGGCCTCACCTAGAGCACGAGTCTTTTGATGTTTTACGTATGTTTCTATAGATGTCCTTCCTCTCCTGTGTACACAATCCTACCATATTAACAGTGTTACTATATATATATATTATAATATATATATATATTAATATATATATATATATAATATATATATTGGGCCTCTCCTGGGGCACGAGTCCTTTGTGTTTGACGCGTGTTCCTATAGATTGCCCTTCTCCTGTGGCACGAATCCGCAATGGTTTATGTACGTCTCTGTTGCTATATGTTGCGCCTCTCCTGGGGCACGAAACCTCCCTAGGAGGTCCCAGGAGGCCCCAAGAGGCTCCTGGAGACCCCAGGAAACCCCAGTAGGTTTCAGGAGGCCCCAGGAGGCCCGAGGCTCATGCACAAAGACGCGCTCGTACTACTGAGGCTCATTCACACTCCAATTCATTCGCAGTTAGATTGATGTCCTGACCGCCACAACTGAAGCCCGTGTAGATTCGAAAGCTCTTGCGCCTAGACACTCACGGCGGACAGGTCCATACGAATAGATGCACATATGGGGAGCTCCACGCAGTGAGTAATTCCCCACTCACTCATCACTCAGACTCACTCATCAAGACTCACTCATCACTCAGACTCAGTCCTCACTCAGACACACCACTCATCACTCAGACTCAACACTCAGATTCACTCATCACTCAGACTCACTCATGCTCTCTCATCACTCAGACTCAGTCATCACTCAGACTCAGGCGATTCGCTCGTCTCAGCAATCTAAGGGGGCGGCGGGGGGGTATTTCACGGGGTCCCGTTCGCGGAATTTTGTGGGGATGTCTCAGGCGGTTTGGCCATTTTCTGATCCAACATGTTTCGTTTTCGGAGCAGATTTGGAGGATGTCTCAGGCGATTCGCTCGTCTCAGCACTCTAAGGGGGGCGGCGGGGGGGTATTTCACGGGGTCCCGTTCGCGGAATTTTGTGGGGATGTCTCGAGCGGTTTGCCTGTTTTCTGTCCCAACATCTTTCGTTTTCGGAGGCAGATTTGGAGGATGTCTCGAGCGAGGCGCTCATTTGACCTCCCAGGTGGGCCAGATTTTGGAGGATGTCTCGAGCGGTTTGCTTGTTTTGGTGGCCAGGCTCGTGGCGCAGATTCTTCTCAGGATGCCACAGGAGGCTCCAACAGGCTCCAGGAGGCCCCAGGAGACCACATGAGGTCCCAGGAGGCATCAGGAGGCCACAGAAAGACTCAAGAGGCCACAGGATGTCCCAAGAGGCTCCAGGAGGCCCCAGGAAGCTCCAGAAGGCCTCAGGAAACCACAGGAGGCCCCAGGAGGCAACAGGAAGCGCCAGGAGGCCTCGGAAGGCAACAGGAGGCCCCGAGAGGCCCCAGGAGCAGGAGGCCTCAGAAGGCAACAGGAGTGGCTCCAATCCCATGTGTTTTACGTATGCTCCTATCGATTGGGCCTCACCTGGAGCACGATTCTTTGATGTTATACGTATGTTTCTATAGATTGTCCTTCTCCTGTGTACACACTCCTACATGTTTTACGTATGTTCCTATATATTGGGCCTCTCCTGGGGCACGAGTCCTTGGTGTTTTACGCGTGTTCCTATAGATTGCCCTTTTCCTGTGGCTCTAATCCGCAATGTTTTATGTACGTCTGTTGCTATAGATTGCGCCTCTCCTGGGGCACGAAACCTCCCTAGGAGGTCCCAGGAGGCCCCAAGAGGCTCCTGGAGACCCCAGAAAGCCCCAGTAGGTTTCAGGAGGCCGCAGGAGGCCCCAGGCTCATGCACAGAGACGCGCTCGTACTATTGAGGTTCATTCACACTCCAATTCATTCGCAGTTCGATTTATGTCCAGACCGTCACAACTGAAGCCCGTGTATATTCGAAAGCTCTTGCGCCTAGACATTCACGGCGGACAGGTCCATGCGAATAGATGCACACATGGGGAGCTCCACGCAGTGAATAATTATTGGCGGTCCGCGCTCACAAGGAGCACCGGGACGACGACGACGACGACGACGGCGACGACGACGAGACGACGCTCCCTTGAGCGCTGCCAAGGAGCTGCGGGACGACGACTCCATAGCATACCACGACATAGAATAGCATAGCGCAGAATTGGCAAAGCATAGGTTCCCCACAAAGTGGGGAACCTATAGTGTAGCATAGCTTAGCATAGCATAGCATAGAACGCTCACAACCTGATCAACGAAATTGAATAACTGCGCACACACACATCGACAGTCGAGCGTCGTCGTCATCGTCAACACAGTCCGTCCTCATCACATACCACTTCCTGCTGGTAGCTCGTAGTCGTGGTGTACGGGTTAACAGTACGTCGCAGGAAGAAGCAACTCAACACGAATATGATTTTCATAACGACACATAGATTGCAAAACAATCAAGCAGCCACATAGGACCCCGCGAAAGTTGCCAAGTCACATGCACCAGAAAATGCAGCCATCTGCTCGAGGATAGCGCACCGGGACTCGACATCCTCTTCAGAGGAAGGATATTCAGAACCACTGCCAGCCTCGGAACACGTGTCGCTGTCATCTGGCATAGGCCCGTACTCGTCATCAGAGTCGCTCTGAGCGGACCTCATAGTCTGCTCATCCGGATCATCTTGCTTCATGCTGACTGGAAGCCAGTCCGTTCGCCGGATGCACCCAAAATGATAGACGCGCTCAGCGAGTCTGAAACGGCTGGCACCCACGTAGCCATAACCCCGCTCGGGGGGATAACAATGATCGAAGTATAGCGCACCAAGCCCGAGGGAAGATCCCTGAGCCCTGCGGATGGTGGTGGCATAGCCATAGGTGCACGGCAGGAAGAAGTCACCGCCGTCTGTGATACGGTGCACGAGGATACGGTGCTTGGTGCCCGTGAGCGTCACCGTAAAGGTAGACTTATTCTCCAGTACAACATCGATAGTGCCGGTGGCGCCGTTCACGAAGCCCCGCTCCTTGTCGAGGTTCCGCGTGAGCCGAACAACGACACCAGGCGCGATAAATAGACGCTGCGGGCCAGATACCTAGAATAGCCTCCCCCGAGTGTCCGGCAGGACGGCCCAGTGAGGACAGAACTGGGCACACCGATGCATCAGCGACGTGAACAGCAGCTATCATTCCATGAAGGATAGACAGCCAGATGCATGGCCGATACATGGGCATGCCGCGAAATGCCCAGGCCATCCCCCGACAACCCATTCGAGGTATAGCACCTTGAGGTCGCCGCAGAGCGGCGATAGGTTCTCAGGCTTGTCGTAGCCGCACGCCGACAGACACGCAAGATTCACAGCCTCCGCCCCCTTGTTGGTCACGGTGAGCCAGTGGAAGGGCTCATCGCGAATAGCGCCGAGATGCATGCCCCTCCGCACGGCCTGCTCCGAGCTGATAGAGTCCCAGGTACGCCCAGCGAAGAAGGCCCGGATAACTGCCTTGCTCGGCTGCTTCACCCGGACATTTCGTAGGAAAGATAATAGACGATCATCATTTGTCCTATGTATAGTGAACAGCGAAATAGTGGTCATGACAGTGATCCACGTGCGCATAGCCGACGAACTACCGAGCGGATTCAGCTGCTGGAAGTCCGCAGCAAAGAAGATAGTGGGCCGCTGCGGCAACTCCCTGAAGCCGTTGTGCAAGCGGACGGCCACGTCGTCCTCGATCTGCGACGCCTCGTCGATGATGATTAGATCATAGGTGCGCAAGCGCGACGGCGGCGCATAGTCCACAACAGTGTCGGCCCTGCGATAGATGTGCCACGCGGAATATATAGTCTCCACGTTGATGTTGTCGTGCTGAACCTTGGTCTTATAGGTGTGCACCAGAGTGCCCGTGGGACCGAGAATCAGGACGTGGAGACCAGCGTCCGCGGCCCGGCGGGCAGCCTCGCAGAGGACCTCCGTCTTGCCGCTGCCTGGCTTCCCGTTCACATAGTAGAACTGCTGCTGCACGATGTTAGCGTCGGCTCGGGAGAGCACACCGTCTACCACTTTCAGCACCTCCTGCTGGTCTGCAGACCATGTGATGCGAGGCCGCGCATGCGCCTGACATCTCCTCCGCTCTCTCTCATACTGTTCGTAGTATCGGTTCTGCATGTCCGGCAACAGGCAGTCAGCCCTGCGGCGCGCATCCGGCGGGATAGCCTCGGGATTATCAAAGCAGAAATGCATGTGGTTATAGTAGACGTGCACGGCATGGAGCCGCGCCCGGAAAGACCAATGACGCCCGAGAGACACGCGGATGCGCAGATCCGCACCAATCACGTCCTCGAGGTAATGAAGCGCCGCGTCGACGCAGTGGAAAGGCTTACCATAGGCGCCCTGAGTGTCGTCAGCACATCTCAGAGGATGGAACAGTTGAACTGCCGGGCGGATAAAGGCGTCCTCGGAGTCGGAGTCAGGCGGTGGGAGCCAGGGCCAACTGTCGAAGGGCTCCCAGCTATACTCATGAAGACGATCACCTATAGACTCCACGGAAGCGTCGCACAGTTCGGCGATACGATTGGCCTCCGTGGCGAAGCCTACCCAAGAAGTACTATGCATCTTCGCCAGAACGCGTGCATCATAAACTTATTCTGCCTCCCCGGCCTCCCGCAGCAGCATGGCCTGCACCTGCAGGCGGATAGCTTGCTCGCAAGCAGGACGCGTGCCCTTCAGGCACTCGAGGTGCCGCAGATACTTCACAGCCTTGAGATAGTGCTTCGTGAAGGGGATGAGCTCGGGATCACTATCTAATGGAGGAACAAAGGTGCCGGGGGGCCCGTGCGGGAACATCATAGTGCAGAACTGGCCGATGAAATTATCCTGCATCTCGAATGCATAGCGGACGCCCACCGCCACGCGGGAGTCATCACCACGTCCTCTGCGTTGGATGACCCTGTTGTGGTCCCCATCCGCAAGTTATAGACGCGGAGGTAGCTGAGAAAGCTGCCGCACGGCCTCGGTTCATTCCCAACACAAGCCCGCTTGAGATATAATTTATACAGCCGCTTGGTGTCGTTGATGTGCTTGTCATCCGCGGCGGGTATGATAGCGTACGCGCTGACGACGCCGAACGTGCGAAACATGCGTTTGGCACCCACGAAATCCAGATAGACCTCCGGCAGACCCGGCACCAGCTTGCACAGCATACGATAGGTCGTACGCCACGCCGAGTGTTCATCTCCGGCGCTTCGAGCCGCGTCGGGCTGAAAATCCATAGACTGATTGGCCTTCACGACGTAGCCGTTGATATAGTTCAAAAACCCATAGCCCTCCTGCACGTCCACGGAGCCGCGGAACACCTCCTCCAGGAACATGACGAAGGCGGACCGGTCCGCCTGGCCGCTACGACCAGATAGACGGCCTTTGGGGAGCACCCAGGCCGCAATATGGATGTGCTCTGTCTTGCGGCCCTGGAATTCCAGGCGAATGACATAGTCAAAGACCTCCTCTAAGAACTCGTTCGGGCGGAGAATCTGCTTCATGCCATCATAGAGCAGCTCATAGATGTGCTCTGCCAACAACCCCTGGCACGCCGACAAGCGATCCGCGGCCTTCCAGTCGGCAAATAGAGGCTCGTGCAGGAACACCTTCCACTCCGCCGGAGCGATGGTGATGAACAGGTTGGGGGGGGCCTTCACCACCCCACGCAACAGAGCGTGCTGGCGAACGACGTCGCATAGGATGTCCTGCTGCAAATCATCGTGATCGTGGGCGTCGACACCGTCGTCGTCGTCGTCGTCGTCACTCGTCGTCTAGCTCGTCGTCGTGATCGAGAGATCCTGCTCGTGACGCCAATAGCTCTCGGACGTCGAGCTATTGTCAGCGACGACATCGGGCGTGATGCCCTGGCGCTCCGCGATAGCAAGGCTGGCGGAGATGCGCTGCGCGGTTGCCATATCATAGAGCAGGAAGGCCAGGTCCGGCACGGCCTCCGCGTCGCCATGGGTCCGACAGCGGGAGCGCACCTTCCGCAGGAAGTTGGACTTGATAGTGGGCTGCTGGGACGGCTTCACCAGCTCGTGGTCCTTGGCCCAGCTGCTGACGTCACTGTCGCTAAAGACCTCCCAGGGATAGAGCACGGGGCACAGCGCCACCTCGATGCCGCGACACTGGATGAGCAACCGATAGGTGGCAATGTACATTTCCCGGTCCTCCACAGGGGCGGCCAGCTCATGCTTGTGCCGAATAACATAGCGCCGATAGGTGCGGTTGTGCGCCATGAGCCAGTCATACGCGGCACGAGCCCTCGGAGTCATAGCACCACAGGTTTCAAGGTCCTCGCTGTTGTAGTTCACGCGGCAAACCTGCGTCTTCTTCCAGTTATAGGTAGGACCCTTCGTGACAGAGCCCCGCTCCTTCTGCTTCGTGACGAAGAGCAGGTACGGCGTGATAGTGGCAGCCTCGTCCTTGGTGATGTCCAGGAGACTAACGATGCCCTCCGTGCCGTGCTGCCTGACAAGTTCTGCATAGACAGCATGCTCCTCCACCAGCGCCACCAGCTCGTCCAGATCCCTCGTGTCCACCGGACCTTGGAGCATCGCCTCGCGCATTGCCGCGAGGCGCGGGCCGAAGTCATAGGCGGTCACGAATCGCTGAAGGCCCGGCAAATAGACCGGCCAGTGCTTCTTCTGCGGCACCAAATACAGCTGCTCGGTCTTCACGCCCGCCTCGATCTCCGCGGGAAGGGGCCACAGGAACGCCTCCAGGGGCAGAGAACACGCGGTGCCATAGCCGCGGTCGCAACAGGTACGGACAAGAGGCAGACGCTGGACGGCGTCTGCGCGAAGCGTTTCACCATAGACTAACCTCTGCCCAGAAACCTGGCCATTGTGAACCTGCCAGCGGTAGCCGCACTGCTGGCAGCAGACCCAGTTCTCGTAGCCGACAAAGAAGCGATAGCCCTGAAGCACCTCGGCCCCGCGTGAGCCAGAAGGGAGCACAGTTCGGCACGGGCAAGCGCCATAGCACGCCGCCGAGAACTCCCGTCGACGCTCCGCATCCCAGCGCCGGATAGTGGCCGCCCTGTGGCGCGCCTCCCGCAACATACAATACGGCACCGCCTCGCGATAGACGACCTTGATCTTCGCCTGCAGAGACAAGTCCTCGTCGGTCTTCGCTCGCACGCGCCGTGACCAGCAGATAGCAGCGCAATCCACATACTTGTCCTGGGGGGCCACAAGATGACCTCGACGCCGAACCGCACGGCGAAAAAAACGATTCAGGAGCCCCCCCAGAGACTGGCTTGGACGCGGCGTAGAATAGCTCAGCATGGCAAGACATAGGCTCCCCACTAGGTGGGGAACCTATGTATATGATAACATAGAATAACACAGAATGGCAAAGCATAGGTTCCCAACTAAGTAGGGGACCCATGGTGTAGCATAGAGCTTATCATAGCATAGCATAGCCAAACCCAACAAAAGATAGGTTGCCCACGAAGTGGGGACCCTATGGTGTAGCATACCATAGCATAGCATGACGTAGAATAGATCAGCATGGCAGAGCATAGGTTCCCCACTTAGTGGGGAACCTATGGTGTAGCATAACACAGCATAGCATAGCGTAATAGCACAGCATGGCAAAGCATAGGTTCCCCACTCAGTGAAGAACCCATGATGTACCATAGCGTGGCATAGCATGGCACAGAGCACAATGGCATAGCATAGGTTCACCACTAGGGAGGATACCATGGTGCATAATAGCATAGCATACCATAGCATAGCATAGCTATGGTCCTTCCAAACACCTCGAACAGGACGCCCTTCAGCATCAGGCGCATAGTGTTCAGACTTCCAACGTCGGAACACCGCCTCGGTAACACCACGCTCATAGTAATGCTGCACAGCTTTGCGCTGCGCCGCGAAGTCGGCATGTGCATCGACAAGTTGCTGCACAACGGGCGCCTGCCCAGGCCCGCAGAGGAACTCATAGGGCATGGAACTATACGAAATCATAATACGCCCAACAACCGCCTCATGGCGGACAGATAGCGACCGCCCGATGAGAAGCCCCAGCTCGCGAGAGATAAAAACCCGACCAGCGGTAGGATGCTGCGTCAGTAGCTCCCTGATAGCGCACGAGTGCTCCCGCAGGTTGCCAGTAAAGACAGGATAGTTCTGACGCTCAGGCTGCTGTCGAATAGCCACGCCCACCGCGGCGCGGCCCTCGGCGAGCTCAGTCATGACGCGATAGACCATCTGGAGGTGGGCGTACTGTAGCCTGACTCCGAGCTGCTCCCCCAGCATGCTGCCGATAACCCTGTACCCGGAGTCAGGGTGAGAAGCGACAAGATCACGGATAGCATCCACGTGCTCCCGCACGTCCCCATTAAAAGCCTCGATATCCAAAGCCTTATCATCAGCCAGAAGGTGGATACCGATCTGGGCCATCAGTCCACATATTGCCTTCTTCTGACCATCAGATAGCTGCACCTGCAACTTGTCCTCGAGCTGACGGGCAATACCCTGATAGTCCAGGCTCGGGTCCTGCATCATGAGTTCCTCGATAGTCTCCACGTGGTCCCGCACGTCCACTGCGCCCTCCGCGCAGTCAGACCGCGCCCGCTGCGAGACAGCACGGCCCCGAGAAATACCATCGACGATGCGCTGGATAACGCTCACATGAGCCTGAGATAGATTCTGCCGAATGTGCTGCCCGAACTCATGCGCAATGCCCTTATAGCCAAGGCCGGGGTGAAGCGCCACCAGTGCTCTGATATAATCAACGTGATGCCGCACGTCCCCGGAGAACTCCCCCCAGTCCGGCTCCACCGCACGACCCTCCGACAGCTCCTTCATGATGCGATAGACCACCTGCAAGTGGGCGGTGGATAGCTTCACGCCAAGCCTCTGCCCAAGCATGCTTCCGATAGACTTATACCCATCATCCGGATGAGAGGCCATAAGCTCCCTGATGGAGTCCACATGATCACGCACGCTGCCAGAAAATATATCGCCGACCTCCGACTCCTCTGACATAGCCTCGTCGTCGGTGACGAGGTCGATGCTGATCTCGGCCATGACAGAAGAGATGCCCTCCTTCTGACTCTGAGATAGCTCCACCCCAAGCACTTTCTCGAGCTCGACTGCGATGCCATGATAGTCCATGGTTGGGTGACGCGTCATGAGCTCCATGATGGTGGCAGAGTGGTGGCGCACGTCCGCAGAGGCAACCTCATAGTTGTCCGTATCCCGCTGCGTGCTCGGCGCAGCACGGGCCTGCGAGATGCCGTCCACGATGCGCTTCACTGTCTGCATGTGGGCAGGGGATAGTCTCAACCGGATGTGCTTCTGGAACTCCTTCGAAATGCCCCTGTACCCCATGCCAGGGTGAGCCGCCACGAGTGCTCTGATAGAGTCTGCGTGATCCCGCACGTTCCCATAGAACTCCTCCAACTGCGGCCCGCCCACCGCGGCGCGACCCTCAGACAGCTCCTGCATGATGCGATCGATAACCCTCAGGTTGGCAGTGGATAGCCTCACGCAGAGCTTCTGCTCAAGCCTGCGCCCGATAGCCTTGTAACCCAACTCCGGATGAGAGGCCGCCAGCTCCTGGATAGAGTCCACGTGGTCACGCACGTTCCCGGAAAAGTCGGCTGCGTGCTCCCGCACGTTCCGATAGAACTCCTCCAACTGCGGCGAGCCCACCGCGGCGCGACCCTCAGACAGCTCCTGCATGATGCGATCGGTAACCTTCAGATTGGCAGTGGGTAGCCTCACGCAGAGCTTTTGCTCAAGCCTGCGCCCGATAGACCAGTAGCCCAACTCCGGATGAGAGGCCACTAGCTCCTGGATAGAGTCCACGTGGTCACGCACGTTCCCGGGGAAATCGGGCCAACCGTTGCGATAGGCAGCAGATGCAACCGGCTCCGCCTTCTACAGCCGCAGCACCTGCCGATAATCGGACTCCTCCAGCGTAACGTGCAGGAGCTCGCCGAGCCGAGCGCCAACACGCCTATAGCCCCAATCCGGATGGTCAGTCATGATGTCCCGAACAGCTTGCGCATGACGCCCCACGTCATCAATACGCGGGAGCGCGGAGAGCGCAGCCGAGGGGCGCTTACGGCATGACATAGCGTGACCCGGTGCGCAAGAGGCCGTCTGACAGCCGGCGGGGATGCACGAACCCGCTCCGAGCCTCGCCAGAGAATTACGGTGGATGACAATTCTTCTGAAACGTCTATCTCATTCTGCCATGCATCCTGGCCTACTCGACGCGCAGATCCCCATATGTGCATCGCATTTCTGGGCACTTCCCGGTGTGACTGTCTGAGTGAGGGAGTCGTAGCCTGTGGCGACTGGGCGCTCCCTGCCAGCTTCCTCTTGGATTGCCCCAGTGCTGCGCCTGCTGCATCGGGATGGTCCTGGAGTTCTGAAAGGAGATTCGTCGGGGGTGCCCAAGCCAGTGTTCACTTGAGCCATCCCTGCAATCTGCGCACGAACGGGGGCAACTAACACCACCTGGCGGCTCCCTTTGAGGTGCTCAAGTGCTTTGCCTGCTACGTCTTTGCGATCATAGAAGTGAGTCTGACTGTGAGTGAACCTGAGCTTAAACGAGTCTGAGTGTGAGTGGATCTGAGAATGAATGGGTCCGAGTAAGAGTGAGTCTGAGTATGAGTGAGTCTGGGGTGAGTGATCAAAAGTATGAATGACTGAGTGTTGGTTAGTCGGAGCATGACTGCGCTGAGTATGAGTGGATATGATTATGATTGAGCCGAGCTGAGTGTGGGTGTGCGAGGGAGGCGGGTGAGTGAGGGAATAAGTCGGAGGCATCACTCTAACAACAATAATCCCATGTTCGGATTTTGGAAAAATGCGACGCTGGAGCTCTGGGGTACAGGCAGTGCCCTTCCTCCCCCACGTTCTGGCGCGCGGTCCGCTCCGCGGCGCAGTGGTGACCCCGCTGCGGCGGCGGTCGGCTCGCGTGGTATGGGCACACCGGGTGTGTGTCCGAGATGGGCCGTGGGACTTTTTTGAGCGTGAATCAGAGGAGCAAGAGGTCATGATAAGCAGGATTTCCCATGCTCCCTAATGTGCCGCACCAGCTGCGCCGCCAGATACCCTGGAAATCCTAGAACGTCTCCTGAGCCAATCTTATCATGACATCATTCTCGCCCTCTTGAACGGTGGGGCTGGGTGGAGCTGACGCGTTTTTCTTCGTGTAGGGCGGGGGCCGAGCCAGATGCCCTCTTCGTCGGAAGGCGTCATGATGTCGGGGGACCTAATGTGAACGATGTCGGTGAAAGCGGCCCCTCCATTCATCGCAGCACAGCGCGACGCAGCACGCGCATTTGCAATTTACCTACCAGCAGATTGTCGGTCAGGTAATTGGTGGCCGCCGTCGTTTGTTGCTGTGTCGCGGTGCTGTGGTCATTCGCCCTTCGGTGGTTTGGCCATCGCAGGTGATGGTGCCGTTCTCTGCCGTAACTCGAGCCCCCCCCGTGCACATCGTGGCGTACGCCTTGGGCACCCGTCTCCGCATCCCGGTCATGGCCAAGACGATACCAGAGCGTGGTCGGGTGGCGATGGTGGGGGGACGCGCTTGCCCCACATGCGCCCAGTTCCTCTCAGCCTCGTGGGTGGGGCGGCGGCCGGGAGGAGAACATCAGCACGGCCCCGCGACGGTCCTGAGGAACATTTCTTTTCGTCGGCGGCGAGGCAGAGGCAGTCCGCACCAGCGTGGGGCTAACCGGGGCAACCGATAGGAACATTGTCCACGGTTCCGAGGAACAGGGGGGCAGACCAGAGGCAGGCAGACGCCCGTATCGGGGAAGCGTAAGGCTCGAGTACGCCGGAACTCGGGTTTGCCCGCGCCTCTTGATGAGCGCGCCTGGGGTTTGACGGCCCAGTTTTCGTGGGATGTCTGCAGCGGGAGTTCGCGTCAAATTTCAGATTGGGCCTCGTCATTCTACGGTCGCCCCGTCAGGCGAACCCGAGTCCCCCGAACCCGAGTCTTACGTCTCACCGACCGTAGGGCAAGATGCGGCCGAGATGGTCATGGTCATACTCTGAGTACCTCAATAGTTCTGGTCCCCCGGGCTACAGGGGCCCCCCGGCTTTCAAGGGCCCCTCCCCCGGACTACAAGGGCCCCCCCCCCGGACTACAGGGACCCCCCCCCGGACTACCAGGACCCCCCCCCGGACTACAAGGGCCCCCCCCCCGGACTACAGGAACCCACCCCCGGACTACAATGACCCGGAAGCAAGGAACAAAAATTTGACAAGGGACAGGAAACGAGGAACAAAACTTGAAAAGCGAAAGGGGGCGGGAGGGGGAAGGGAGCACTGAGGGGCGACGATATGATTTTCAGTGGCACCGATGCTGCTGAAGGTCGTGCCCCCCGGGCTACAGGGACACCCCCCCGGACTTCAAGGGCCCCCCCCCGGACTACAAGGGCCCCCCCCCCGGACTACAAGGGCCCCCAAAAAACCCACCCCGGACTACAGGGGCCCAACCCCCGGACTACAGGGGCCGCCCCTGGACTATTGCGCACCCCAGAACCATTGAGGTACTCAGAGTAGCTGTTCTCTGCTCTCTGGCGCGGCTGGCGTCGGCTCGGCCAGTCTCTTGTGCCTCTTGTCTCGCGTCGCAGGCGCGCGGGAGCGCGCGGGGGGGGGAGGGGCGCGCCCAGCAAGGCGCCGGCCGCAGCCAAGATCCCGTTCACAGCAGACCAGGGGAGGGAGCTGAGCGTGCGCGAGATCCAGGAGGCCCCCCCCTCTTCTTCTTCTTCTTCTTCTTCTTCTTAATATTCTTCTTAATCTTATTCTTCTTCTGAATATTCTTCTTATTTTTCTTCTTCCTCCTCTTCATCCTCCTCCTCCTCATTCTCCTCCTCCTCCTCCATCTCCTCCTCCTTCTCGTCTTCTTCTTCTTCTTCTTCTTCTTCTTCTTACTCCTCCTCCCCTCGATGTCCTGACAGATGCGTGCCGTGCCCTGCACAGGTCCAACGCCTTCTTCAGACTGAAGCTTCGTCGTCAGCCCTGCTAGGTGGAGCTCGTCTTGGATCCCGCTCCGTTTACCCTTCTCGCCCACCCCCCTCCTGCCAGGGGCAACGTCAAGGGGGGATAGGCTTCGGGGAGGTGCAGCGACCCCCAATCGCCCATTCATCGCCGATAGAGGCCCGGTAGCCCACCCCGCCCAGGACCCTGGGAATTCGCTCTCGAGGGCCCACTGCCGATCCATTGGCGGTGCGTCTCCGATGTCAGGTCGGTGCTTTTCCCCCCCCCCCCCCCCCTGAGCCAGTCCCCCCCCCCGTCGTTGCCCCTCCTCTCACTCTCCCTCCCTCTCCCTCTCCCTCTCCCTGTCGTGCCCTCCTCTCCTCCTCCCTCTCCCCTGTCGTCACCCCCCTGTCGTTGCCCCTCCTCGCTCTCTCCCTCTCCCCCGGGGGCCCCGCTCTGCGGGTCCGGCGGGGCGGGCGAGGGTGCCGAAGGGCCCTGTCACCCAGCCTCGGGAGGCTCGGGGCCGCAGCGTGTCTGGAGGCCGCCGTGCCCGCGTCGTCGTCGCCGCCGCCGCCGCCGAGCGAGGGGAGGAGGGGAGGGGGAGGAGGGAGGGAGGGAAAGAGGAAAACAGTGAATGGTGGCAATTGGCTCCTTAAGGTCTTGAAGATCTGAGTTGTGGAGGTACGTTGGCACCCCTCCCTACGGCCGTCTTCGTTGGCCGAGGGACCGTAGGGAGAGCCTCGGCCCCCTCCTGCGCCAATGACGGCTTCATGGATTGGTGTACTGATGGGAGTGGGACCCCAGCAGCCCCTATGATGGTAGCTGCCGAGGGGTGGCGCCTATGGTGGTCCTCGCCAAAGGAGGGGAGGAAGGGGAGGCCGATGTCCAGGATCGTCTGGCCGCCCGTGATGCGTCCTGGTCTTGAGGCGGGAATTCCTGAAAGGAAGGGGCGAAATAAAAAACGGCATAACACAGTTTCGACTCCGAACTGAGTAGGCCATGCGCACTCGGTGTCCCACGGGGGGGGATAACGAGTGCGCGCGCTCACGCTTTGGTGCCAGTGTGTTGCGTCCGTTGGGGCGGACGAAGCGTGCCCCCCAGGATCAAGCCAAGGGCCCTGGGGACAGCCGCGCCTGCCGAGAGCATAACCCCGCGACTGAGCGCCCTATGGTGAGGACAGTGATCTGGGGGCCAACAAATCTCTCATCGGGCAGGCTGCATCGGAGGGCGGGATCTGTCCGCCCCCGCCTGGGCGCAACAAAGTGAAACCAACCCAAAAAACTCCCCGGGCGAGAGGTCCGGTTAGGCCACCTTCGTCGGACAGCCTTGCTCGCACATTATCGCGAAGCGGCCTTGAGGCACGGATAGGCCTGCACATCCAAAAATAGTGGACCCCAGACAGACGGTTCGGTGACCTATTTTCCGCCGATACAACTGTCCTTGCAGGAGAGCTGAAGATTGAGGCTGGTTTGTCGGAGCAAGCCCACCCCAGCCGCCCCCGCCATCCCCCTGAAGGGGAGGGGGGAGCAGAGAGGAAAAAGCAGGCCAGGCGGCGAGGAAGAAGAGGGAAGGGGGAGGGGAAGAGCGCGAGATGAGGAGGAGGGGGGAGAAACAGAGGGAAGAGGGGGTGGAAAGGGAGCGAAGCGGAGGGGTGGAAGGACGGGCAAGTTGGGTTGGGGACTCTAGGTGTTGACGTGCAGCCTGCGGATTACAGTCCTTGAAGTGCTCGGGTAAGAGGCGGGGAGCGGGAGCGACCACATGAGTGACGCCACGGCGGCACATGTGACGCCGCGGCGGCACGGATCGAACCATCACCCGGGTAGGGATTGGGGAGAGGGAGCGACCGCATGAGTGACACAACGCCGGCACATTTGACGCCGTGGCGGCACGGGCCGACCCGTCACCCAATTTGGCATGTTGGAAAAATGGGGGGTGGCCAATGCGCCAGAATGCGGAGGTGAACTGACGTTGACAGACACAATCAGCCGGCAGGGGAATAAATCCCGTTCACGGCCCTGAGGAGGCAAACAGTGAATGGTGGCAATTGGCGCCTTAAGGTCTTGAAGGTCTGAGTTGTGGAGGT